GTAGGGAAATCAGGTAGGGCAGTCCTGTACGATAAGACCCATTTATTTGGGACTGATAATGTGTTTGTACACAAAGAAAAGAGGGAGAGAACAATAGCATCAAGTCACAAAACACCCTTTTCAGATCAGATCTTCCCTTCATTGTATACTTAGAACCTCCTTGAACACCGTAACTGGCTTCTGTGTTTCTACAGTACCCAAATACAGGACACCCAGCAACATACCTAAAGGAGTATAGTTCGAGCATGCACCCAAGCATGATAACGGACAATATGCTGACTTGCACTGGGGGTGGGGGGGAAGAAAAAGGATTTCAGAGGTGATCAAAACTCCTTGAACATAAATTACCCTCTTTAAGGCTAGTCTACAAGAACAGCAGCCTTCATAAGCATTCCACAGAAAGAAATTAAAATAAGTTGATCTAAAACTTAAAGTATTATTATCCTCCAAGATATTCAGTACATGAAATATGTCCAGACTCATCATGAATGCTCTCTTCATTAGCTGTCCTCCCCTCAAAGAAAATTAAGCTTCTATTTCACTCCACAGAGATTCTACCTTCCGGGAAGCAGCCATCAGCTTGAAATCTATATTGTTCAATGTGTAAATCCAACTAGTTTCAGTGCTTTCAGTAACATGTATCACCCCGCCCAAGGGCCCTCCTTCAGTACCTCTGGTTTTACCATTCTTTTCCTGGTGTGCTCTACTCAAAGACACACTTCTCCTCCATTTCCTGCAAGGAAGGCCTGTAAAGAAGGTGAAACCAACTCCGCAGCAAGCTCAGAGGTCAGTCACACACAGAGTACTGTCAATTCACAAACTAAGAGAAGATTCACGTTGGCTTCTAGTCATATGTGTTTCCACAATTAGCATGAGGAGCACAAAACATGCTTTAAAGCAATTTTAGGTGCCTCTGGTACCATATTCATTCACATCTATCTCCAGAGAATAGAGAGTCCACTCTCTACTAGCAAATGAACTGCAACTTATTTGTTACAGCTGCTCGTCATACACTTTACCTGATCTCCTAATGCAGGGAAGGACTAACACAACTGTCTCCAAGGCCAGACTTTATACTACCCACCAGTGCATATGTCTTTCATCTATTAAAATATATATATACACACACCCCCCCTCAACAACTGGTAATGACCATATTAAGGCAACATCTGATTTAAAATTCCTCCCAGAGTAGAAAAGACAAGTTGCTGAGAAGCCACACATTATATCTGAAAAAAAATCAGAGTTAACTGTGGAAAACATTACTACATTATGCTCTCAATACAGATCCACGTTTCACCAGCTTATAGCTCCTTGCAAAGATCCTTCTCACTTTCACTACTTTATTATGCACCTTCTTTCATATTCTCAGTCTTTGTTTTCTCTTATTCTCCTTACACTAACGAGCTATGAACCTATTAAGCTGTATTCTAATACGATATGAATTAAGCTTTTTTTTTCTTCTTTTAACCTCAAATACTTTCAAATCAATCATAATTCGAGCTCTCAATAAAGGGACAAACATTAACTTGTTAACTTCTACCAACCTGATTACAGACCAAAAAAAACACACCCCAAAACACCATGAAAACTGTTTTCTATTATCCCACGCTTTTGACAGTTTACATATAAAGCATTGATCACTTTCCCTTACACTAAGTCAGGAGAAAATCATGCTATTATCCATTACTATATTTGGTCTTTAAAGTCATGAGAAGGGCCTAACTATCAGAAATTCAAGAAACAAGCACCATGCTACACTGCTTTCCTGGCAGGCCCTTTCATTTAGTTACGCAGGCCCTCTCGTTTAAACAACACTCAGATATCTCATGGGTGGAAGGTAACCCCTAGTATTTCAACACTAATATCAGTGTCCAGAGCATCCAACACAGCACCATACTGTTCTCTTTGACTAACAAAAGTATCCACCCGTTTTTCCTACGGAATTCAAAAATACTAAAGAAAAGAAAATGCGTTACTGCACATCCTTTCAGCCAGCAACAGTTAACCATATTTTAGCGGACTAAAAATGTAAGCTTTTAAGCACTCTGTCCAGCTTGACAGAGACCAAGAGGGGAGGCATTGCAAACAAAAAAAGAAACCAAAAACAAAGTTACCAGCGAACACCACCACCTCTTTTGTGCTGCTCTCCGCGCAGTCGAGCAGAGGCGGCCTGCTCGGACAATCTCCTCAGACGAGGACGCAAAACCTAGAGCCAGCGCAAGCCCGATCCCAGCCTCACCGCTGCGGCACCTCCACGGACCCCGGCAGGCGGTCCACGGCCTCCGCTCCCTTTGTTTTGGCCACCGACGAGC